GGCCTGCTGATAGACTCCAGATGACCAGGGCGGCGCCGCCCCAGGCACCTGTGTTGTATTGGAGCCGCAGCCGGGGATGATTTACTCCCCGGGATCCGGGCCCTGGCTTTGAAAACCCCCACCCGACCCGAGCCCCCAGACCCCGCCAGCGGAGGTTAAGCTGTGGGGCCTGCTAATAATAATCCACGGTAACGAGCCCTTCCTGGGGAGAGGCAGTCAGCAGAGGCAATCGCTGCTAACTCAACAATGCTGGCAAAAGGCAGACACAGGAAAATACCTTGAAGGCTGACTGCAGAGGTCACCCAGAGTGTAGGGGAGAGGGCTCCGCTCCTCGCGTAGCCCCGGGGCTGGCCAGAGCCGTGCTGCCCTTGGAGGGCTTCTAAGCCCAGCTCTTGCTGGCACCGGAGTGGCCGCTGGCCCGCACTGCCTGGCCCCAGACAACTCGGCCCACAGACCGCAGCTTCCTCAGCCCCACTGCACAGGGTTGGGAGCGGGGCCTGGAAGGGCTAAGGGAGGTGCCCAGGGTCACACAGGGAGGTGGTGGCAGAGCTGAAGTTTGAGCCCAGCTTGTTGCAGCGCCACCATCCTCCTGCATCCTGGCCTTTGCTCTGCAGGGCCGTGGATGGCTCGCCAAGGAAGCGGGGGCTCTTCTGGCATTGGGGGGAGGCCTTCCCAGCATCTGACTGTTGTCTCCCCCACCCTGACTCACAGGGGGCACCAGGCGTACCTGAGCAGCGCGCCGCACTACGACTTCCCGCGCTACCGCCAGCTGGTGCATGAGATCACGCTGGCCTTCAGCGGCATCTCCAGGGAGATCCTGCAGATCAAGGGGCGGCTGCAGGAGCAGCACGGGCGCCCGGAGCTCGCCCAGCACCTGGCCAGAGTCCAGCAGAAGGAGCAGGAGAAGCTGGAGCTGGTGAGAGGCCACGTTCCCTCCCCTGGGCTGGGGCAGCAGCAACACAGCCTCCCTCCCCCTTCCCCTCCCTGCCAACCCCATCTTTGGGCTGCTGGGCTGAGACCCACTAAACTCATCTCACGCAGGCCACAAAAGGGCAGCAGCTTCCATCACTGTTAGGTGGTTGCAGGAGCCCAGCAGAGATCCGGGCCCTGAGGTGCCCAAAAAGTAGGCACGGCCAGGGAGGGGAGGGGCTTGCCCACGTGCTGGGTGTCAGGAGGCACTGCCCCCTCCTCTCAGCCCATTTGGCACTAGCTGCACTGCCGGCGAGGTCAGGGTGACGCTGAACCTGCTCGACTGCCAGCTCCTGCCGACAGACCCCGTCCTGCAGCACCTGGCTCCTTGGTCCCTGGGGCTCTCCCCACCCCACGTGCAGGCTCTGGGGCTGGGTGCTGCAGCTTCCTTGCTGCGGGGAGCTCAGTCTCCTTTGCCTCGTCCCTGCAGACGGCCCAGCTGCAGCTCGCCAAGCAGAACGCGCAGGACCAGCCCGGGCTGGAGGCGCATCAGCAGGAGGTGCGGGAGCTGAAGCACAAGTAAGTGCTGGTCCCGCCCGGCCCAGCCCCCTGCATCTCCACTGGTCCGGGGCAGGGGCGCACGGCTGCTCAGCAGCGTGAGCCCCTCCAGGCCGGGTGACGTGCATGCCCAACGGGGCGGGCCAGGGCAAGGGAGGTGCAAGTTTCCTGCCGGGCCTCCCAGGGCTCGGGTGGGGGTGGGTGGACTTGGCATGCGCCACGCCAGGGCCTGGCAGCCCCTTTATCATCCCTGCACTGTGGGGCTGGAGCGAGGGGGGAGGAGAGCGCCTCCCCCAGCCATGCCCCCCACCCCGCGCCAGGGCTCAAGGAGACCCAGATGGGGCCTTCAAAAGCGCGGTTGTTTGTGGCCCCTCTGGATTGTTTAGCGATGCTGCCTGGCTCTGCCGCCGCCCGCCTCTCCCGGGCCGAGTGTTTCATAAACAGCGCGGGGAGCGCGAGGCGGCCGAGATAATACGCTCCATATGGGCTTTATTTATAGTTTCCATCCGCTCTCCTAGGCTAATTAAAACCATTGAGGCAATCAGCGAAATTCTCCAGGACCTCAAGTACGATTCGGAAGAAGCTGAGTGATGGGTCTCCCTGTGGGAATGGTTGCAGGAGGCGGGGAGCCGGAGCGGGCGGGGGGTGGCTGCACAGGGTACGCCGCAGGCTCTGCAGCCTGGCCGGCCCCCTGCGATGCGCCGCCCGGCCCGGCCCCCGCTTGCCGTGCAGCACCGAGCGGTCCCCCTTCGGCCACGCGGGAGCAGGGAGCCAGATGGGCAGCGTGTGCAAGGCCTTGCCCCGAGTGCCGCGTTGCTCTTGGCAGCTCGCGTGTGTCTGTGATGGGACGGCTCCATGCTCCGCCTCTCCGCAGGGGCTTCCGGGCTGGCCACAGCCAGACCTGCAGGTCTGGGGGTGCATTGCAGAGCGTCCCCGTGCCTGCTGCTGAGACGGGCTTCGACATCCCCATGGTCTGCGCAAAGCCCACCTTGGAGCCCTGATTCAGCCCCAACTCCTGCCTCCCTTCCCCCTCGTGTCTGCCAGCTGCAAACACGGCCTCAGAGCCCTGGTGCTATTCCAAAAGCCCCTCTGAAGGTCTGGGGCTTGTCCGATGCCCTGGCTGCTGCTTGCGCCGGGAGCGGGAGGGCGCTGCCCAGGCAGCACCAGGCTCATTCCACACTGTGGGCGCGTGCCTGGCGGCTTTGCTTCTGCTGTGCCGGGACAGTTTGTCCTTCAATAAAACCTTTTGCTGGGCTCCAAGTCACTGCCGCCTCTCCTTTTGCAGTGACCAGCGGTGCTGGGTGCCTGGGTCCTACCCCTGGCTTTGCTGCCCATTTGCTCTGTGTCCTTGAATGAGCTGCACAGGTCGTTGCCCGCGCTCCCCTGCCGGGCGCTGCACAGCACGGCGCGGCCCCTGCCAAGAACACGGTGGCCCGGCAGCAGACACTCGTCTGCCCAAAGGCTCTGCTTACTCACCGCTGCCCTGCCGGGCTCCCCAGCCCCTGCTCCAGGGCGGTGGGGGGTCTGCTGCCTGCCACACACAAGGGCCAGCATAAAGACCAAAGGGATCAGCTGGGGACAGGAAGGGGCCTGTGCCTGCAGCTCTTCCAGGGGCATCAGCCCTGCGTGGGATGGGGGGGAGCAGGAGTCTTCCCCCTTCCCTGAGTCCAGGAGTCACTCCCCCCGAACACGTCTCTGGCCACCTGGGAGCTGCACGGAGCCCCGGGCCCTGGTGCGGGTGCAACGTATCCAATTGCAGCAGAGCAGCCCCTGGCCCGGGCTCTGCTTGGAGCTGCCAGGAGCTGCAGCCGCAGCTGGAGATCCTCCCGCAGACTCACTGGTGTTAGGCGCATTCGGTTCAGGGCGTTCTTTCCCATGTGGGGCCCAAGCCGCCACTCCCAGGGGTGGCTGGATGGGTGAGCAGTGTCAGCACTTGGTCCCGTCGGCCCAGCTCGTCCCCATGCTTCCAATAATGCTTGCACGCGCCTCCCTGCCCTGCAGCCGTGCGCCAGGCTCCCTGGCTGATGCCCTTGGGATCACTGCCTGAACCCCCCTGGGCCGTGGGCCCTGTGAGCACTGCGTGCCTGCACCTGCCCTCGAGCCGGCAGGTGGGCCGTGGCACTGCGCTCCCCACCCAGAGCGACATCAGCTGCTCCAGTGCATTGCCAGTGGTGGAGTCTGCGCCAGGGCCCCCTAGGCCCCCCGGCTGGAGGAAGAGCGGCTGGTGCGGGTCTGGGGACGCCAGGCTGCGGCGGAGCTCGCGTCTGCATGGAGCCGCTGAAAGGACCCGCGGAGCCAGCGCTGGGCCCGGCACTGGCCACTGAACCAGGTCAGTCTCCAGCCATGCACTAAACCCACGGGACCGGGCGTGCCTCCCCCTGGGCCAGCACCTTCCCCCGAGCTGCCTCTGCTGCTAGCCAGGCCGACGCTGCTTTTCTGACTCTTTTTTTCCCTTTATTAAATACAAGCGCGGGGCTCGCACCCAGGTGCAGGCAGGCTGGCACGGCCCTGACGGCTGGAGGCCGAGCCCGCTGGGGGGCCAAGGAGAAGCTGCCCTGATCCTGGGCCCGTGGGCCTGTGTCTGGTTTGGCTTCTTCTATGGCTGGCGGTCGAAGGGGCGGCTCCCCAAGCCCTGCGGAGCGGGGCAGAGTCCTGCTGGCTTCATATCTCCGGGGGGGTGCAGCGGTGGGGGCCGGGGGTGAGTGCGTGCAGCCTCTACATGTGGGCCCTCGGCCACTTTCTGAGCTGGCCGGGCTGCCAGCCAGCTCTGCCCGCTCAGTGTGCCCCCTGCTTTGCCCCACAGGGACCCTTGGCAGGGCAAGGCCACTGCTCCAGGAGGGTCTGGCCAAGACCAATCTAGCTCGTCTACCCTCAGGCACGGAGCAGCAGTGCCCAGCGGCTGCGAACACCACGGCGAGTCCCAGGTGGCTCCAAGGTCCGTGAGGACCCCTGTCCCCTGGGATGCTCTCTGGCCCCCTGGGCGCCTGTGGCCAGTAGCCCCCAACCCAAACGTGCCAAGATGCCCCAGGCCAGGCTGTGCAAGGGTAGCTCAGCTGGCCCCCGCTATGCTGGGTGCACAGAGATATGCTGCCCCCAGCTCCCCCCAGGCCCAGGAGAGGGACCCCATCCACCTCAGAGGTCTGGGGTGAAGCAGGGGAGCATCACCAGCAGGGATGGGGGGCTGAACCACTGACCCCAGCCCTCGCGGGGAGCAAGGCGGGCGCTGGGGGGATGGAGGGAGGCCTGGGGGAGCAGTCCAGAAGCCAAGGCTGTTTCTTCCTGTCCTCACTGGAGAAGTGATGGGGGGCCTCCCCTGACGCCACGGCTGGGGGGTTTGGTCCCGCATGGGGAGACCACTGATCTGGCCCCGTGCTCCCACACCACTGCCGAATGGGGCAGGGGCTACAACTTATCGCTGGGTAGAACCTGGAAGGAGAGCACAGCCCAGCTGCAAGCAGAGCGAGGGCAAAGCTGGGAGCCCCCTGCCCCGCTGAGACCCCAGCCTGTCGGCCTGTTTGCCCTCTGGGGCTCATAAAGCCAACGGGACGTGTCTGCTTCCTCCCGTAACCCAGAGCACGGGACGCTGGGGCTGGCAGCCACGTGGGCACAGGGGGGTTTGGCACACACTCAGGCCCCAGCTAGAACGTCTCCGGGAGGCCCCGGCCCCGTCCCAGCGTGGGGCCCGGCTCCCCCGGGCACCCTGCCATCCCCAGCTTGGCTTGGCCGGCGCTCAGGCTCTGCACCACCCATCCAGACACCTGGGGCACGTGGCCCTCGCAGCCAGGTGCTTGTCCCCGGGGAGCGGGCCGGGGGCCCCCTGGAAAGGGGCATGGGAAGCTGCCCCCCTGCACCTCCGGTCTGTCCCGGGGCAGGCAGCACAGCATCCGGTGGCCTGGGCTGGGGGGGCGCAGGCTGTCCCAGGGGCGCTGGTGGCTGGGCCCCTTGAAGGATGCTCTGTAAATCCTGCAGCTGGAACCTGCCCTGGGAGCTCTCCGCAGCGGGGCAGGCATCCATGGGGTCTCCCAGCCCGTCTGCAGAGCTGCGGCTGGGGAAGCCTTGCTTCCAGACCCCTGTGCCCCCTCAGGGCAGCTCCCGGGGCAGGACGGGGGTGCCTGCTTGGGGGTTTGCTGACAGCAGCCCCGTGGGCAAGGGAGCTCTGCACTTTCCAAGCTGGGCGCCGTGTCTCGGGGTCTCCTCTGGGGGTAGGGGCCCATGCTGCCCAGGTCCGAGGCTTTCCGACCGCCCACCCGCCTGCCCACCGGCCCCCCAAGGTAAGAAAGAATCAGCGAAGGGTCCTTACCTACCTGGTTCCGTGTTTTGTGCGATTTCTGCAGCCAGACGCGCCACTGGTCGTACAGCTTGATGCTGAGGTTGGAGCAGCCGTAGGCGTGCTTCTTCACCCAGCCGAAGAACTGCTTCAGCTCCCGCCGCAGGGTGCTGTTCTGCTCCCCGCTCTTGGGGTCGCACACGCCAGGGATCCTCTCTGCACGGGGCGAAGGGAAAGGGGGTCAGCACGGGGTCCCAGGGGACGAGGCAACCGGTGTCGGGGGGCTAGAAATCGCCTGGGCAGGCTGGGTCGGGTCTCGAAGCGAGCTCTGCGTCTGCACGTAGGTGCCTGGGCAAGTGCTTCCTGGCCAAGGCTCCAGCTCTTGCTGGGCTCACGGAAGGGGCAGGCCAGGGCCATGTCCAGCTCGGCTGTGCCCCAGCCTGGCAGGATGCGCGAGCCCTTGGCAGCTCGGGAAGGACCTGGTCCCAGGGGCAGCCTCTTCCCTGCACCTGCCGATCAGGGCAGGAGCAGATGCCCGGGCAGGCGTGACATCAAAATCACGTCATAAATAACGGTGGGGGAGCCGCGGGGCTGAGCTGGCGCGCTTGGCCGGAGGCCGCGAGGCTCGCTCGCTCCCTGCTGGGAAACGAGCGCTCCAAATTGGCTCCTGCGCAAGAAATCCAGGTGCCGGGCACACACCCGGGCCAAGGCAAGGAACAACCTCTCGGCACGTCCCGCGCTCGCGGGAAGCGGGGAGCAGTGCCGGCCATGCCAGGACCCCCCCGGCCCTCCGCCACCCCCCCCAGCACCAAGGCAGAGTGCAGCAGATTTGCATATGGCGCAGGATGAATCGCGGCCGGGAACGCTAATCTAATTACAGCCAGAGCCAGGGGGCGGGGGCGACCCGACTGCAGCAGCTGGAGGGGCGCCAGGCCCCCCGGCACGCCACAGGGAGCTCCGGCTCCAGGCGAGCCACCTGGGGGGCGGGCGGGGGAGGCTTGGGGCCGGATTTCCGGCCCTGCTCCCACGCTCCCCACCCCAGGCGGAGGGAAGTGGAGGAGGAGGTGCTGCGCAGGCCCTTGGGCTCCCAAGACCCCGACTGCGTGCGAGCCGGGGGCTGGCACGGTGGGCGCTGTGGCTGGCATGAGGCGGGCTGCTCCGCTTTCTGTCAGCAGCTGCGGTGCCCATGGCCAGGCCACGGGGCAGGGGACGTGGGTGTGATGTGGAGTCCTCACAGAACTAACCCAGCGCCACCTTCGCCTCGGCGCCTGCGTGCAAGGACCGCTGCTGGGGGAGCTGGGCCCTGCCCTGGGCATGCCTCTGTCCCTGCACCGTCCCTTGCCTCCAGCCAGACCTGCCAGGCCCTGTGGCAGCTCGTCCCCCCATCAAATCGCCGCGGGGCTGCGCCGCTCACCGCTCCGCGGGGTCGAAGCTGCCGTGGGGTTGCTCCAGTCGCTCCAGATCCCGGACTTCTTTGAGCCGTAGATCCCGAAGGGGTTGCACCGGACCTGGACGAAGTAGACGGTGCCGGGCCGCAGCCCCGCCAGGCGGCACGATGTCTGGTTCCCCACGTCGTCCACAACCTGCCCGGGGGCAAAGGGCAGGGCTCAAGCACGGTACCGCATGGCGTTGCCACCACCACGCACGGTGCCGGTGCCCCGAGTGCTGGCCCCGGCATGCCCGCTCTCTGCACTGTGCCAAGCCCAGGCAGTGCCACAGAAGCCAGGCCTCGGTGCTCTCCTCTGCAGCCCCTCGAGGCTCCTGGTGCCCCAGGAGGCATGGCCCCGACTCCAGTAGGTGCAAAGAGGTGGGACGACGGCCAGGAGCCAAGCCAGGTGTCCAGGGGCCGGCCCCCCACACCCACCTTCCACTCCGAGCTGTCCTCCACCCGGTATTGGATCTGGTACTTGGCTTGGAAAAGGAAATCCTTCAGGGCTGGCGGGGAGCTCCAGCGCACGCTCAGCTGGTCCTCCAGGTCCCCGACTCGGCTCAC